TAATAATAATAATAATAATAATAATAATAATAATAATAATAATAATAATAATAATAATAATAATAATAATAATAATAATAATAATAATAATAATAATAATAATAATAATAATAATAATAATAATAATAATAATAATAATAATAATAATAATAATAATAATAATAATAATAATAATAATAATAATAATAATAATAATAATAATAATAATAATAATAATAATAATAATAATAATAATAATAATAATAATAATAATAATAATAATAATAATAATAATAATAATAATAATAATAATAATAATAATAATAATAATAATAATAATAATAATAATAATAATAATAATAATAATAATAATAATAATAATAATAATAATAATAATAATAATAATAATAATAATAATAATAATAATAATAATAATAATAATAATAATAATAATAATAATAATAATAATAATAATAATAATAATAATAATAATAATAATAATAATAATAATAATAATAATAATAATAATAATAATAATAATAATAATAATAATAATAATAATAATAATAATAATAATAATAATAATAATAATAATAATAATAATAATAATAATAATAATAATAATAATAATAATAATAATAATAATAATAATAATAATAATAATAATAATAATAATAATAATAATAATAATAATAATAATAATAATAATAATAATAATAATAATAATAATAATAATAATAATAATAATAATAATAATAATAATAATAATAATAATAATAATAATAATAATAATAATAATAATAATAATAATAATAATAATAATAATAATAATAATAATAATAATAATAATACTCTCCCTAATTCACCCCCTCACGAGTGAATTTTAACTCCAAAAGCTGAGCTTGTGTGGGGAAAGGGACGGCTATTATTATTATTTGCCGTGGCGCTCCGGGGCGACTTAGAGATGATTGATGGTGCCATTTGACGTACAGGTAAGGAAACCCCGGAAAACCTCCACCCACCATCATCGAGACGGTAATGCATGGCGATTTTATAATATGCATGTCATATCAACAGCAATTGAATTTCTATTAATACGGTACATATCAAATCCTAAACCGAACCATGCAATTTAATTAAAAATCCACATGGTCCGGTCTGGGACCCGAAGCCCAGCAGTCTCTGACTCATAAACTTGCCTATAAATGAATATAAGCGCGTTAGACCGCTTCACCACCGTCCCTGATATAAAATAACACAATCAGACTTTATTATTTATATTTATTTGACAAAAAATGTTGAGTTACAAAGATTCTTCACTGGAATTATCACAATATATGTGATTTTTTTTGTGTGTTTCTTACAAATTGGGAAAGCACAAATTACGCATTGATGTTGTGTAAACCGGTTTTTTCGAACTGGACAGTATTTACATCTAACTTTTCGAAGAATTTGCTGGTGTTACCAATAATGTTGGTTATGTTTTGGCGAAGTGAAATTAACAAGTTGGAGATAGTAAAACGCTTTTAAAGATGAGCCAGTGTAAGCTGTTTTGACAGATTCAATATTAATATTCTTCTTGCAATTATCTCATTGGTATTACATTTCGAATAAGTTTATAGTTGAAATCCAGCAAGCTGCATGGAGGAACACACCAAAAGTAAGAAGATTAACAGCTGGAAAAAACTATCCTGTCGAGATAAGAGAACTGGTAGCAGAAAAAGAATACTAAGAAAGAAACAGCAGATGACAAGATCACCAGAAGATAAAAATATATTAAATAGGGCTACCCAAAGACTAAGAAGAGAAATACTAAATCACAAAGAAGAATCCTTCAACAGATACCTAGTAGGGCTAACAGATGTTAAAGAAACTGATTATTTACTTTGGAAGGCAACTAAAAAGATGAAAAATTCGTGTAAACACTGTCCTCCAATCAGAATAGCAGATAACAAATGGACAAGAGACAATCAACAAAAAGCTGATGTTTTTGCTGGCCACCTACAAAAGACGTTCCAATTAGATGAAAACCAAGACACTCCTAATGAGACCATCCATAATATGGAACAACTTGAAATTAAGCTAGTTACTCCCAATGAAGTTATGAAAGAAATTCAGACAAACATCAACTCACAGAAAGCCTTAGGATATGACCTTATTACTGGAGAAATATTAAAGAAACTACCACGGAAGGTTATTGTTAAATTGACATACCTCATTAATGCAGCATTTTGCCTTAAATATATACCTTATGCGGGGAAAATGGCTGAAGTTATCCTAATTCCTAAGCCAGGAAAACCTCTGAATGAAGTGTTATCATATAGACCTATATCATTGTTACCGATAATATATAAGCTATTTGAAAAACTACTGCTAAAACGACTAAAACCAATAATTGAAAATAAAAATCTGATCCCTTCGCACTAATTTGGTTTTAGAAACAAACACTCGACAATAGATCAAGTACACAGGATAGCCGATATCATCGAAAAAGTTTAAGAAGAAGAATATATATGCTCAGCTATATTTTTTGACGTAGCCCAAGCATTTGACAAGGTTTGGCACGCTGGCCTAATATAGAAACTTGAAAAACCGCTCCCTAGACCATATGTCGACATTCTACAATTATATCTAAGAATGTTTAGAGTAAAGCAAGACGAGGCATACTCCGAAATGAAAGAAATAAAAGCAGGTGTCCCACAAGGCAGTGTGCTAGGACCGGTTCTTTACTTATTATACACCAGCGATATTCCTCAACAACAATCTGTTAAAATAGCAACATTTACGGGTGACACTGCAATATTGGAAGTTGGCGGAACTAATACAGAGACCCCGAAAAACTTCAGGAAACCTGTAACAGAATCAATCGATGGACAAAAAAGTGCAAAATAAAAATAAATCAAACTAAATCAGTGCATGTTGATTTTACTCTTCGACTTAATGAACAAAAACAAATAAGAATAAACAATGACGTTATTCACGATTCGGCCAAATATCTAGGGATGAACCTAGATGTAAGACTTAAATGGAAAGAGCACATAAAAAAAAAGCGTAAAGAACTTAACTTAAAGTCAAAAAAATGTATTGGCTCCTAGGAAGAAAATCCAAATTGTCAGTGCACAACAAACTGCTGATTTATAAACAAATCCTAAAGTTAATCTGGATTTATGGCATACAGCTATGGGGATGTGCCAGCAAGAGTAATATCAACATGATACAAGTTTTCCAAAATAAAGTCCTAAGATACATTGTTGATGCACCCTGGTTCTACCGAAACGATTATCTTCATAGAGACCTGAAGGTGCCAACAATCGAAGAAGAAATAAAGAGGTTTGCTGCGAAACATAAGGGTCGACTCCACTCCCACGTCAACGAAGAAGCGCTGCAATTACTGGACAACTCTACACTTAACAGAAGGCTCAAAAGGAAGAAGCCATTTGAGCTAGTGCAGTGAACGTTAATGTTAGTGATAGTATAAAACAGTGTAATAAATTGTCACGCCAACTTGTGATGCTTTCCTATAGAAACAATTAAGACATCCCAATGGGGACTTCTTAGATAAGTAATTAGTTATAAGATTTTTAGATTAAAATTGTAGGTTAGTCAGTAATGACTAGTAACAATATTCTAACGAAAAAAAAAATTTCTAATTATCTGGGCATTTATTGTAGCAATATTATGAAATGAACAAAATAATGTTAGTGGCCAACCATTGGTGACTCTTGAAGGAAATGAAGGAAAAGTAATTTTCCATTTTCACATTTCCTCCAGACTTATCGATAGTGGATATCAGACGCTTTACTACACTGGAAGCATCATCTGGTTGTTTTCTCAAATATGTATCCATATTGTGAGTATAAAATGTCCAGGCGTCACATAAGCTGTATATTTGTATTCCATATTTGGCAGGCTTATTAGCAATATATTGGCGAAAGCGACACTTTTATCAAAAAACATCGATCATCTCATATATCGTTACATACTCCCCAACACTGTAAACGAAGAGCATGCTTTACAAATCGGTCAAAAATTTCGCAAACTATCATATTTTACCCTTTCTTATCTGCTCTCATCGAATCGTATAGCCCGAAGAATGACATGAAATCTGCGCTCTGACATGACAGCTGGTGTCTGGTGTCGTACCGTCGGTACTCCACAATTCTGATGTATTCAAGTGCTGTCCCTTCTTGACTCCTGCCATATATAAAAGCCCTAATAATGAGCACATTTCGTCGAAATCAATTGATGGACAATCTCTAGAACGCGAATACAACTAAACTGCCATAATTTCTGATTTGTGGAAGTAATAATTTGCTCAATCATTTCATTAGAAAAAAATAATTTCTAGCAATCTAATGCGGTTTTAGCCCCCTTGGCAATGGTTTTACTCCAGGTAGTTGCGTTAAAAGGTTACGAGCACGTGTTTTTCTTTTGGGCATGTCCGGTTTGTGTTTGAGCCACTATGTTAAATGTTTACCCAAGAAAATAGCTTCCCTTTTTGTTTTTGGTTGTAAAGGAGCTTGAGCAATAGGAACATCTTCAGTACCAAAAAAATTCGACCTGAAATTTATAGCGATGTTTCGGATGAAGTGGTATCAGGAATTGAGCTACTAGGATTCTCTGCCTATGATAGTCTTACAATTTCTGCTGGCTCCAAAGATGAGACTTCAGAAGCTTTATGTAATAGTAATGAAATGGCCACTTTGGATGAAACCGATCATTTTTTAAATATATCTGCTAAAACATCTAATTTGGAATCACGGGATACATTACTAGAGGAAAGCATTGAAGGAAAACGGATAGATAATATAAAGCAATTACAAGAAGTATCATACTATTTTAGTGGAGTATATGTACTTTTAAAAATTTAAAAATTATTAAGAAATTGAAAATAGGATTTTGTTCCATTTTAACCTTATAATGCACAATGTATAAATACATTGGGACAGTATCGACATCGGATATAAAGTGTGACATGGACACAAATATTCGAGCTGTGAATGGAATAACAAGTATTCGAAATGGATTTAGTAATTTGCAAAAATGATGTGTTAATTTGGATATCCCCTTGCATGAATCAAAGTAATTTTTTTAAAAAGCAAGATAAACTCTTATATATAGAGCAAATAGCCTTTAAAAATATGAAAGATGCACCTAATGAAGAAACTGACATTGCAAAAAAACAAGGATCTATTGGTCTTGATGGTGTTCCAGAAATTACAGTTATTTGTGACGGAACCTGGAGTAAACGTTCTTATAAAAGAAATTATAATGCATTGTCAGGAGCTGCCGTTATTATCGGCAAAAATACAGGAAAATCTTCACATCTGGGGGTTCGTTATAAATACTGTATGACTTGAACTTGATATTGCAATAGCGATAAAGAGATACTGGAACTTATATGTTTCAAAAACTGTACCGGACCCTCAACTGCAATGAAAGCTGCAATTATCGTTGAAGGTTTCAAAAATCGTGAAAACTTATTGGGTCTCAGTTTCACAAAATGTATTGCTGACGGAGATAGTAAGTGCTACAAGCAAATTTTGGATGCTATACCATACCACAAAAATTGAATGCCGAAATCATCTGATGACAAACTTTTGTAATAAAATTGCAGACTCATGCAAAAGCGCATGTGGACCGAAGATTCTAAGAAATAAAATAAAATAAAAGATATTAAAATTACGAACATCGATAATGAAAGCTGTACAATATAGGAAAAATGAAGAAGGTATGAATCATAGTAAAAATCTTCAAATTTAAAGTGCAATATTTTAAATGTAGTTGGACAGCATGACGGCTGCGGTAAATTAAAGTATTTTTGTGCTAAAGTAACTCCAGATGAAGAAAATATTATTCCGGTTTTTAAGTATAGTTCTTTATTTGATAAATTAATGGGTGTCGTCAGATTGCTGGCAATTCATAGTAGTAGTTTTGTGTACGATACAGATAATAATGTTGCTGAACAATTCAACAGCATTATTTATAAATGTATAGGACGTAAAATAATAAATTATTCTTTGAGAAAACAATACAAAGGTACAGTATTTCCAGGTATTTCCAGGTAAGTACCCGAAAGTTTGACCTGTTCTTTGAGGAAATATCAACTGGTTAAATGAAATGAAAAATAATGTACAACTTTTTAATTAAATAATAATGGATAATCTTTTGTGTAATTGAGAGCAGAAATAAACTTCTTCATTAATGGAGTCTAATGTGGCCAACAAAAATGAAAAACAGTCATTATCATTCAAAATATCATAATCGTCATCATCATCACTGTCATCACCATTAATTCTTATTATGATTGCACTTATTTTTCGTTTATTTTATTTTCACGAGTCCACCAATCTTCTATTAGTTTCTCGCACTTGGATATACAGTTCCGCCTCACTTCTGGAGTTGCAATCGAAAGTGCTTTTCGCCAAGTTTCCCGAACTGCGTCGTCACTATAGCCATTAGGCCCAATATGGTTGTCACAATATTGTTTTGCTATTCCCCATATGTATTCGATGGGATTAAACTGGCAATGATACAGTGGCAGACGTAAAACTTTATGACCGTAACTTTCAATAATATGATCCACAACAAAGGTTTTTGGTTTTGCGTGTACATTTGCCAAGCGTAGTAATTCTGATTTTTATATATATTGAGCAAATGGTATATGTTCCTTTGTCAACCATTCTTTAATTTTATCAACAGTCCAAGAATTCGTTGGACTTTTGTTTAATACTTCAAAATGGTAAGGTGCATTGTCTAAAATAATTACGCTGGGCTCACTTAAACCTGGGAGAAGTTTTTCATGCAACCATTTTACAAACATTTTTGTGTTCATATTATCGTGATAGTCACTGGATTTTGATTTAGATGAAAATATTAAATGAGCACCTTCTATAAAACCCGATTTCCCTCCTGCATGTAAAATTATGTGTCGCTTCCCTTTTCCATCGGTATGTTTGATAGGCTTTACGTTATCATCTTGCCATATTCTCTTGGTTGCACCCCTAGAAAATATCCATGTTTCGTCTAAATATTTAAAATTCGCCCCTTCTTCTTTAAATTTAGAATATTTTCTTAGAAAGTTAATTCTCTTGTGCACGACAGAACTTCTTTCACAAAGGACCTTTCTGTTATCTGCCTTTTGAAATTTGAAACCCAAGTTATGTATCACTTGCCATAGACTTGTTCTGCCAATGTCGTCAAATTTTCTATCTATTAATTCCGAGAGAATTGTATTTAAGGTCACATGTTCCTTGTTGACCCTCATTCGATAAATGGTATCACGAATTTCAAATTTCTTTCCATCTGGAATATCTTTCGTTTCCAATAATGGGCGAGTTTTGCGGTGATCTTCTTTCGGCAGTTCACTATTGTGATTTTGTAATACTCATCTTAATTTGGTTTCACTAATTCCTAGAGCATCGCATACGCGTTGTTGTACAGACATTACCGATTTTAAAGGACCGCCATTTTCTATTTCATCCGTAAAATACTTATGTACACTACAAATTAGACTATATACATCTAACACACGTCTAGGCATTTTTAAAATTTCCACTAAATTTACAATATACATACAATGTCAACTCTTGCAAAGAATCAATTCAACTGCAATATTTGTAACAAATTTAGTACCTACCCTAATGTTATTTTAATTTAAATCTGACCATTAGGGCAATTTTACCTAATTTCTTGGGAAGAGGCTTATTGGAACTGGTTGTCAATGACTAATTTTCATAATTTTGTTAATCCGAAACCCGCGTAAGTATAGCCAACAGACTGTATTAGGTTGCTATGGATATTCAAGTGATTTTTTGTGAAAAGTAAAATACGTTTTCTCATTTGTATAAAACTTTTTGGGATACCGTGTATATTCACACAAAAATAAGTAAAAACATCCCCGCATATTTAAAATTTATACGAAAGATCGAATAGACATGATCCTCCATTAAATTCTGAATAAATAAAGTTGATATTTTTGTAGGTTTTCCACTAATAGTAAAGTGGGTGTAAAATTGAGGTCGATGAAGTATTTTTCTATTGGTAAGGACGTGCCGTGTTTGCAGCACTCTCAGGAGCTGTAATCGAGAGTGGGACCGAAGTGGAAACCTGGAAATACAGTTCTAAATCGCTCTCTTGTGGTTAACATACATACTCTCAGAAACTATCCGCAGATATATCTTCGGTTTGCGGTATGGCAAAATGTGTCAAGTGCGATGTGTCGTCGTTATCGTCACAGGTTAAAACTAAAAAGTTACACGAAGGCAGAAATTATTTAAGAAGATTTTTCAGAATCTACATTATTGTGTTAAAAGAAATTAATATAATCTGTAATGTAATATTATATACAGGTTGTTTTTAAATATCATGTACATGTAGTAGCAAGTAATTATTTGGGATTATTTTGACTAAAAAGTCATAAAAACATATGCATCGTTACAATTTTTTTTATTTTTTAAAAATCCTGTAGTTTACTTGTTATGGTTGCTATTTAGTTCTTTATATTGTAGCTACAAAAACCTGGTCATCCTCAGCTTTAAGTTTTAACTGGCAGTGGCAAATACACTAAAAATTTTACTTTTATTTAGCAAAATTACAAAAAATAATATCGTTTTTTTTTCTCGAAAAAAACTACAAGAGAACAAAAGGTTTGATAAAAAAACAGCAATTTCATTTTTTATTTAAAATAGAATGGAATGATAATGGACTGATGCAGCAAGAATTGCAAGCAATCCTAGACATGGAAAACAGACTTAATTTTAGAGACTCACTTTACCAATGAGTCCTTGCGAAGAAACTCGCATCTGTCTAATTGGACTTTGAAATTGGATTGCCTTAAACGGTCAAAAACAGATTTTAATCTTTCTATGTGTTCTTGAAGAGCAGTCGAAAAAATTACTATGTCGTCTAAATAAACTAAGCAAGTTTCGTTGTGTAATCCTCTTAATATATTGTCCATCACTCTCTAAAAAGTTGAAGATGAGTTACGAAGTCCAAAGGATATTCGTAGTGTCCGTTTTGTGTCGAAAAAGCTGTTTTAGATATGTCATCTTCGTGCATTTGGATTTGGTGCAATCCGCTTGCTAGGTCAAGTGTTGTGAAATATTGGCTTTTGCCTAGTTTGTCTAAAATGTCTGTTATGTTTGGTAAGGGGTATTTGTCGGGTATAGTTTTTTCGTTAAGTTTTCTGTAGTCAACTAAACGGAAATTCCTTTTTCCTGATTTATTAGGACGTTTAGGAACAATCCAAATAAGGGAAGAAAATTGAGAATTTGAGGATTGAATGATACCTTGATCTAACAGTATTTTAATTTGACTTTTGACTTCTTCTTTGTAAACTTCAGGATATCTGTACGTTTTAGTAAATATGGGTGATTCGTCGGTTAATTTGATTAGTAAATAACAAGGGAATATCTTCACAATAAAATATATGGAGATATTCAAAGCATACATTTTCAATTGTGTATTTTTCCTCTAAATTACAATGATTTAAGTTAAAAATTTTTAAATTATCTTTGACATTCTTCAATGTTCCTGATCAGTTTCCATTTTTTCTAAGAAATTAATATCGTTAATCTTTATAATTTCTATCTCTAAAGATTCTAAGAATTCTAATTTTTAGATTTAGTGTTTGAATTTATAATGGTAGTTAGGGCAAAATAGTTTTTTACGTTAACTAGAGCAACAAGAGGATACTCTTTTTTATAATCTAATAATCCGATACCTTCTTTCATGTTTACGGGTATTTTAACTATTTATTGAGTTCTAGGGGGTATAATTAAATGATAATTAATGTTTCCAAATTTGAACGAAATATATCAAAAACAGCAGGACCTATAAAGAAGAAACAAAAAAAAATTATCTCTGGAATCTTTAAGAGAAAAGTTGATTGAGAAGCAAGTATTACATCATTGTGGACTCTATTCAGAGAATTGAGAAAAAAAGATGAACCAAGACGTGGACTTATGGAACTTTCTGAAATTGCTGTTAAAAGAATTTAATAAATAGAAATTCAAAAACAGCAGCTTTATATCAATTTGTTTTCATTGATGAAACATGTAACTTTTAAAATGGAAAAATAAACCCTCTCCTGCCAAAATGATGACAAAAATCAATGGCAATAGGTATATTTGAAGTAAATTATGGAATCAGCAATCGTGATTTTCTTGCATATCCTGACTTAACTTATAAAAAAACATGTTAGGTATTGTTTATTTCTCTTATCATGTACCAACATTGCTAAATTATAAACTGTAATATGAAAACAACACATCATATTGATGATTAAATGATAGGTACTCTGTTATTATAGCAAATCTTACAAAGAAAAATT